TAAACACCAAAATACACACAACATTAAAATCGTGTATCAAAAACAAACATTCATCATGCATGTCCAAATTGAATGTGAAAATCAAATATGACATTAATGATTTAGAAGTTATGAACTATGACTATGATGTTGTGTTATAATTTTGACATACCACATTATGCTCCATTGAGGGTTCGGTAGAAACCATTGTAGATTAAGGGCCCTTGGTCGCGACATAGGATACGCAGATATGCACCTCATACAGTTTGGTAGCTCCGGCTACAGGCCCGTTGGAGACTGGGATATGAAATTATATATGGCCATAGCAGCCAAGCATACAGTATTTCCATAGCCAGTTTCATACAGTTTTTTTTTATCACTTCGGTTTACTCATAAGCCTTATGGAGCCATATCAGATATCCTGACATAACATTTCATGAATCTATACAGTAATTATAACAGTACTAAAGAAATCAAGGTACAAATTGAAAGAAATCATGCTATATGTTGCTTTATATGTTTATGATTATCCATGATGCATTTACATGCTTATTTCTATCTATGTAATGTGCTTGATTGTTTCTGATATGTTGAGATACTCCCACATGAGCCTTTATTTTGCTCAGCGAGTTACCTGTTTAACTCGCAGGTTTTGAGATTGGTCCGTAGAGAGTCCGGCTTAACAAGCTGCTGGGCAGTTCATATCTGTAGAAGACTCAGGTCTTCAGGGCTACTACTGCATATTGAGATGTGTATTGTTGTCTACCCTTTTCAATGGCAATGTACAGGGCACACAGTTTGGCCGCATTTCAGGATTTTTGTAAACAACTAAAGTATCATGTTTTGTTAAATATTAATATTACATTTATTTTTTGTAAAACCACTCAGCATGATATTATATTGAAATATACATTAATGAATTTCAAGCATGATCAGGCCATACAGTCAACCAGTTCTGGTAAGGCATCCTCGTTTCGGCTTCATTCGGGTTTACGGTGGATCGCGGGAAGGGATGTCAAATTTGAAAGGTGGTTTATAAGCGTTCTCCTAATATAGCTTTCAAAAGAGCAACTAACTGATGTTTTCACAAAGGGTTTGGCAATAGCCACAGTTGTTTCATCCTTTAGTTTGGCAAGTTGGGCATACGAGTAATATCTATGCACCAACTTAAAGGGGCAAAGCTGTTGAAATCTTGTGATTAAGTAAATATGTTGTTTTCCCCTAGTTTAGGTTTATTCCTAATTAGCTGTTAACGATCTATGTTTCCCTAGTTTAGGGATATTTCTATTTAGAATTAACTTCTATATTGGGAACAATTTTTTTGTATAATATAATTCAGTGGAGTAAAGGGTTCAATTTTTGTATATATATAGTGGAGTAGAGGTTGAAAATATGATTACAAATTGAAAGAAATAAAACATATTCTTTCCTTTAATTTCTACAATTTATACTTCGTAAGCCTTTAGATTTAGAGTGCTCAAACTCAAAAATCTAACATAGACCAAAGTTATTTTTTCTTTAAGTAGTTTTGACAGAGTTATTCGATATTATTCTATTTCTTCTTTCAAATCTAACTCTTTCAAGGAGATAATTATTTAAATATGATTTTGTTTTACTCAAAGTGAATATGAGATGTTTGTAATTAATTTGGTACTAATATGAATGAAGAGTCTGAGTTTTGTGACTTAATTGAGTGATTTTTATCCCTAAAAATGTCGAAAACTCGTTTTGATTATATTAGTATATATACTAATGCATTTACGTAATAGTAAAAAGACTTTATGCGCCGATTCATCGGAGGCAGCATACCAATTAATGGTTTTGATTGTCCTCATGGTTTGATTTTCATTTTATTTAATTTGTTATGTTTTATTTTATTTAGTCATTTTAAATCTGACTTAGCAAAATTATTTCTTTTGTTTTAAAATAAGTTATATAATTTTATTTGTTTTAAATGTTTTTCTTAGTTGATTTATGATAGTTTTAATTTAACTTCTATTTTTTTTTAATTGCATCATTATTTAAACTATTATTACTTTTCTTTTACTTTTATAATTATATTTAAGTTGTTGAGAGTTTATTATTTATTTGGTTATTGTATAAATTGATTGGATGAATGATTAAGTACGTATGTTATATTGTATTCGTTAGATTTATGGTTATGATTGCATGATTAAATTATTCATTTATTATTTATTGAAAATATAATTAATTAGTTGTAAGTTATTTTTAAAGAAGATGTAATTAATTAATTGTAGGTTATTTTAAAAGGAGTTGTAATTAATTAGCTGTAGGTTTTTTTTTTATTAGGAAATGTAATTTTTTTCTGTTCCCTCATTTCTTTGCATGTTTAATCTATTTTTATGTTTGTGATTATGTCATATTAAAGTGAAAAATAATATTTTGATTTTCAAAATTAAAATATTTTTAGAAGGATTTTTTATAGTAATCTAGTTTAAACATTAAAATCGATCCTTACTTAGATAAACCAACAAAATGGAGGTTGACGCTACGGTCGAATCGGGTCGGGTGCCTAACACCTTCGAAAATCCACACCTAACTTCTTTATCCAGACTTTGGTTAAGTGGTTAGGCTCTCTACAAAGAGTTCAATCGTTGCATGGTAATTATCTCAAGTTTTATATGGGTGACGACTCCTATTTTCTTTGTGGGCCTCAACACATTCCTTCTTTCCTAGTGCTTTGGGCCTTAACATAGTGCAGAGTCATTTTCTTAGGAGAGAGCCCACAGTGGCGACTCCACTGGAGATAGAGAAGTTGATTCTGATTAGTTGCTTTATTAATTTTGGGTTGACTTTAATTTTTAAACCTTGCATCACAATATTTGCATACAAGCGTCCTTGGTCCTTAAAACCCTTCGCTATGGATCGGCAAAAGGAATCTTTAGCTCCATTCGATCTATTGATTTTCTAGTAGGCCTATATCACATATAAGCAGATACATTTGGGTATAAAAAGAATTGGACAATTCTGTTTGCACCATTAGATTAAATCACAAAACTCAATGGGAGGATTTAACCAAATTCTCGCTTAAGAGAACCTAAGCTTTATAAGTCATTAGAAGCCCATGTAGTTTCCTTGTCATGCCATGCTTCTTGCTACGAGCTACTGGCTCTCGAATGCACAAAACACAGCTCATAGACTGGCTATTTGCTTCTCCTGTGGTTATGCCCTTTCTTGATCAGCTTGAAATAATCGAAATGCCCTTGCTTTTAGCTTGTACTTCTCCAAAATAGATAAAACCTACACTATTGGACAAAATGAGGTAAAATATCTACAATATGCACAAAACTAAATTGTGTAATCTCGGCAGTTAGCTACGGATAATTTTTTTGTCTCTATTTAATCGTTAATCCGTCGCTAAATTTTACACTTTATCGCCCATTAATATCCCGTAAAATTTTAAATTTTTTTTGAAAGTTCGCCCTAGTTCATAACTAACTAGGGCTAGACTAGAAATATAGTCTATCGCTAATCGGTAGCTAATTTGTAGCTAATCTATAGCTAAATTTTGTTATTTACTGCCCATTAATCTGTATAAAATTTCATTTTTTCTTTAAATTAGTAGATAATATGTAGTTAATCTATAGTTATTAAACTACATATGACTATGGATTAGCTACATAAAATGTTTTGTCACCAATCAATAGCAAATCTATTGATAAAATTAAGCACTAATATTTGGCGGCCTTAATCAGCCATAGAACTCAAATTTGTGGCTTAATTCCGTAGGAAATATGTATCTACCCATAACTACAATTATATCGTGTTTTTAAAATTTTAAAATTAAACTTGCATTGCTAGTATCGATTTCAAATCTCACTACTTGCTTCTACAACATAGGTTTTGCAGCATGAGGTTGAGATATCTCCTCTGCACAGATCAAGACCACAAGCTTGGTTAGGTTTTTGGCCAAATGAACCGAAGCCAAAGCCTGTTTGTGGGGTTTGAATGTAGAGATAGCCAATGATCTTGCCAAGGTCCTTTCTTGAGAAGCTTGAACAGATAACCCATTTAACAGCTTCTTCACTTTATCTTCAAGCAGCTTTATATTACTTGCAAATACAGGGTTGTAAGTGAACAACTCTTCTTAATATTCTATTTTTCTAAAGAAGTATTCATGTGATTACCACAAGAAGCAATGATCAAACCATATTATTCCTACCTTATCACCAACACAAAGATCTCAAGATTTTTTTACCAGCGCACTAACACAAGCTGAACAGTTTTGTCTTGAGACATCTCCACGGCATAAGCCTAACCATTAACTTGGTCTATGTCATTGCCTGATATCTCAAGGCCAAATTCAAAAGCAAGAATTTTGGTAAATAAAAATATTTAGTAAGTTGTTTAAGTTTTTCTGATAAGGACTATTACACTACAAGAAAATACCGGAATAGCAACGGAAACTTCGTTTTTAAATTTTGGTAAACCGGTTTAGAAACAGAAATTATCCATGACAACTTAAGGCTTTTCTATGGCAGTTTAGAAACGGATACTATTTCCGTTTCTAACGTGGCAACTGATATATTGGCAACGGGTATATCCGTTGCCTATATCCAGGAATTCTGAGTTTTGACCTTATCGGAAACCAATTTCGTTTCCACTCCGTCCCCATTTCGCTTCTAAATCCGTTTCTAAAGCCGTTGCTAACTATTGCAATGAGTTTTTAATACCGCCGCTAACTTTCGCAATCAGTTTTAATGCCGTTGCTAACAGTAGCTAAATCCGCTTCTATGCCGTTGCTATATATTTATATCTTTTGCTAACTCCCAGGAAAATATAATCTAAATTTTTGTCGTTGCTGAATCACTTTCAAAGCCCGTTGCTAAATAATGATCATTGCTAGATCCACTTCCAAACTTTTGATTAGTACGTGAAAATCTGTTTCTATATCCGTCTCTTAAAGATTCCAGTTTGTGAAAATTTTATTTCTGTTATGTTTCTGATTTTATAACTTATATATTTTTTTATAAAATTAATTTGAAATTAAATAAAGCAAGTAACATAAAAATGACAAAAACAATCTTACAAATAGAGAAATAACTGCAAAATCTTATGTATTAATTGCACTTATATCTATTAAATACGAATCAACTAAGTCTACCTATATAGTAACATTACCTAACTAGAGAAAAAAGATGATTGCAATTTGCGCTTGTTAACACCTCCAACTTCTTGTAAATATATCTGGGCAGCATAAACTGAGCATAGACTCCTCTTCAGGTTGAGATTCAATTTGAATCCTATACATAATGACCTCTTGAAAAAACATCAGTGATTATTAAAAAAGCTACACAGATTTTGCAGAAAAGTCATGAAAACATGCAAATATTATCGATTTAAAAGAAATATATTTCTTCTAAATTAACATTATTGTTGCATTCCATATTTCAAAATCACAACATATAGAGCAATCGTAAGTGTCATTAAAAGGGACTTGTCTCTATTTCACAACAAATCCAACAATTAATTTAATGAAGAATTTATCAGGATTGATACCTATTATTAATTATCATTTCAGCGGATTTAGCAGAACTTGCGCCAAATTTTGCCACAAAACCAATAAATTTCAAAATTAAGGTACATAATTAGCTCACACAGCATTAAGATGCATAATTAAGGTATGAGTGTATATAATTGCAAATACCTTATCCACATTAATTCATATGGCTTGCAAGAGCATCACCAATAGTTTGACCAAAACCAGAAACCAAATTTGACTTGTGAAGATTTCCAAGAAACTATTCATTGAAGCTCATGGAAATTATCTAATATTTTATTATAAAATAATAACAAAAAATTCAGATAAATTCAAACAAAATCACAAATGAAGTCCTCAAACTAGAAAGTCCAAATTCTATTCAATTCAAGCACAGGACAGAGACCTAACTTTCTTTTTTAAAAGGGATAAAAGAATACAGCCTACTAAATTTAGCATTCCATCTTTTCTCAGCGAAACGAAAAAGCATTACTTTCTTTTGACTTCATCATGAAATCTAATATAAATATTCAAAACATACCTCCTGGACTAAGAATTAGTCATTTTATAAGTCAGAATAACTCTATAATTCAATATAGCAACATTTTCCGATAGAATTCAGACAAAATAAAATAAATGAAGAATAAAACCCGGTTCTAAATGGTATTCTAGCAAGATTAAACATAAACAACCAATATATATAATGTCATTAACTGTTCCATAGATTAGTATGTCCATACATATATATAAAAATATCTAAAATTCCAAATACTTTGAATGGTATTACATTCAGGATTAAAGAAAACGATAAGTCAATCAGTAACATCATTCAAGACTGAGCAAACACCCAACAGATGGGACTATCATGAGATTACTTACAAGAATGTTGAGACTGCCATTAAAAAATCCCACTTCTGTAATCAGATTTTCTCTCTGTTCTTAAGAGGATGCGTCACAAACTGATCCAGATGAACATGTATGCACCCTAGCTCCAAGCCCAGCTAGCTCCTCCACAGTTGCATTCCTATAAAATTAAAATCCAATAATTAAATATTAAAAGGAACTACTTGATTAACTTGCAAAATATTTCAATTTTTCAGCTCCCTGCTTAATGTGGGTTGAAAAATAATATAAAAAGAGAAATCCAAAAGAAAAGAAAAAATAAAAGAATCACGAATGCTTAGTTTATTAACCTTTACCATCCTGTAGAACTTTTTAAAAAATAAAAGGCTCAAAGCATATGGGCCAAGCAAGCTACGCCTAATTGTAGACAAAAACATTACAGTAATAATGATAAAGCCCTTCTTAAATGTACTAAAAAATATTGAATTCCATGAAAAGTAGAGCATGGTATAAACCCCTCGTGTAATTGATTAATTCCCTGTGATTGCAATTCACCATTCTGATAGCAATATTTTGGCCTGAATTAGGGGTTCCATGTGTGTTTTACATTAAGGAGCAAATTAGCCATTTCAGCCACTAATTAAAGCCAGAACTCTCTAAAATCATCCAGCAAATATTTTTTTCACCTGTGACAAATAAATCAAAGAGAGTAAAAAGAAACAAAGAAAAAATTTTAAGTGTTAATTACATTTAACATATACACGTTTGATCAAACACCAAAGCAAAATTGTGACACTTATATATTCTATATATGACCTTTAGTGAAAGCTAAAAAAACTGAAAAAACAAAAACTGGCTTTTTAGCAGACCTGCTTCTCCCAATTGGTTCTAAAGATGATGTAGCCAAGTAAACCTACTTATAATTTCGGAATTAGACAAGCACATGGTGGGCACCAACATCCAATCTGAATTCATATTATCAAAGCAAGGTTTATGTGATTTAATGATATTCTAGCAAAAGTTACTGATGCCATTAACATGGAAGACTCAAAGTCCATGTGCTTTCCTTAATCTAGCCATTAAAAGACCAAGCGCTATCTTTCTTAGCAGAATAATTCACATGGCACATGAATTTAATTCAAAAATTGTATCTTTCAGAAACTTGAATAAAAATTAAAACTACCCATCAATACATCAATGGCCTCCAATCATTGAAATACCATAAATTTCTAGCTAAAATCTAATCAAATAGTTATAAAGCAGTTCAATTTTTACAGCAGGCAGCGCCAATTAGGTAGTAAAACCTTAAAACAACTACAATAACCGAGGGAATTTGTAAAGAGAAACAAAGGTATCCATAAAAATTAACCCGTTAAGAAAAAGTGACCCATAAAGAATATTTGCAAATTAACCAGTTAATAAAAACTATCCGTAAAGAAGGGGAAAACGTCCTAATGCAGTACAAGAAATCAAAATACATAACAAGGGAGTAAAAAAACAAAAAAAGGTTAATAAAGAGTAAACCACAGAAGGATGGAGAGATTAAATCTAACTTAGCCATTGAATATTCTAATGTCTCATTAGCAAACACAGAATTATGGAGAGAGTAAAGAGATTGTACCTTATTCAAAAGCAGGTCTTGAGATTTCGATGAAAGATGGAGAGCCGTCCTCTTCATTCATGGAAGTGCTTCAGCCGTCCGCTTAGGATGAGCCCGATTAGGGATTTCACTTCATAGGTTACGGCAACAGTCGACAGAGATGGAGAAGGTTAGGGCAATTGAAGTGGAGAGCGGCCACATTCATGGCCAAATTACGGTTCCGAGAACCGGAACCGGTGGGTTCGGTTCTGATTCCAACTTTTTGAAACTCTGGCGGTTCCAAGAATTGGTCAGAACTGGTTGAAACCGCTGGTTTACTAGCCGGTTCGTCGGTTCAAACCAATATTTAAATTATTTTTGTATCGGCTAGAACCGGTGGTTCGATCGGTTTGAACCGCCGGTTCGAACTGTCGACTCCAACAAGCATCAGCTTTTTTTTCAATTTTTGGTGAAATCTCCAAATTACTCTCCTAACAATTATAAACGGCTACATAACGGCTAGTTTCAAGGGTATTTATGGAAAAATGATTTTTTAGATTTATTATAAATAATTCGTTACATTTACAATTTTCTCACACAAAATTATCTCTACTCTCTCTACTCTATATTATTCTTCTCTACTCTACAATCTCTCTAATTTTCATTTTACAATTTATTGTCCAAAATATTGCAAGATAATTTCTTCAAAGTCAAATTTCAGATTATTTGTCCAAATTATTGTGAATTATTTTCTTCAAATTCCAATCTCTAGTTATTCTCTCTAATTTTTTTATTCAATTTTCTAAATTACAAATTATTTTCATATAATGGCAAGTGGAGGAGACTCAAGTTTCGCTAAGGACAAGGAAAAAATTGGAGAAACAAAATATTCATCTATCCCTACAAACGACATCTTCTATTGCACTCCCAACCAATATAATCTTGAGGGATATCCAAATGAAAATCCCTACAAACGACAATCTTCTATTGCACTCCCAACCAAATAATCTTCCAAATGAAAATTTGGAAATTCCAACTCAAGAATCTGAATTTAATGATGAGCAAGTACGATAAGAGGAAGAGCAAGAGCAAGGTACACAACTTCTTCGAAGAACAAGACAAAGTTCCGACATATTCGCCATTCATTTCACGAAGAAATTCAAAAGTGACAAAATGTTCTATGTAATTTGCAATTATTGTGGAAAATCTTGTAAATTCAAACAATCTGGCGGTTATGGAACCTTTTGGAAGCATTTAGAGACAAAACATCCAACAAAAATAGGAGTTGATCAGTCTCAAACACAAATTTCTGGGTACGCATCTTCTAACATTTCTTTATTTCAATATTCTAAAAAACAACAAAAAAAAAGAATTAGCAAAATTGATTTCTATAGAACATTTATCTTTTAGTTTTGGTGAAAAAGTAGGTTTTAATTATCTTTTAGTTTTGGTGAAAAAGTAGGTTTTAATCAATATTGTCAAAAAGCTTTAAATCCTTCTGCTAAAAGAGTGCTAAGAAATACTGTAAAAAGAACTATTATTTATTTATATAAAAAAAGAAAAAAAAAGAGTTACAGCTTTGGAAAATTCAAAAAAAAATATCGCATTTCGTGCTTTTAATGATAAACATACTGCAAATAATATTTATAGAATAATTGTTTCAATTTTAGATGAGTATAAGTTGACAAAAACAATTTTTTCAATTTCATTTGATAATGCTTCTACTAACACTAAATCAATTATTCAACTTAAAAATATTTTTGAACCAAATATTGGTGGAAAATTTTTTCATATAAGATGTGCTTACCATGTTTTAAATTTTTGTATACAAGATAATTTAAAAGTTTTTGAATCTTATATTTCTCCAATTAAAAAACTATTTCATATTTATGGGGACATTCCCAAGTGATGAAAAGTTGGGCTAAATTTTGTAAGGAAAATAATAAATTGGAGAAATATAAGATTCAAAAACTTTTAAATTATCTTGTATACAAAAATTTATGGGGACATTCCCAAGTGATGAAAAGTTGGGCTAAATTTTGTAAGGAAAATAATAAAAGACGAAAATATTTTTAGTGGGGTTTATTATCACATATCTCATTTTTTTTTTTGCTTATATCCATTAATATTGTTAATACACTACAACAATTTGAAAATGATTTTATATTACAAGATTGTGCAACAATTTGAAAATGATTTTATATTACAAGATTGTGTTTTTTCAATGAAAAAAAAATGATTATCTTATTTTAAAAATATATCACCCCTTTATCTTATTGCTTATGTATTTGATCCTATATGTAAAATTGAAGTTTTATCTGAATATTTGACTATTTATTATGAATTATTAAATCTTGACATAGAAGATAATTTATCTGAATATTTCCCGTTGATGTTCTCGGCGGTATATTTTTAAATAGTAATAATAAATAGTCCAATATTCAGATAAAACTTTAATTTTACATCTCAGATCAAATACACAAGCAACAAAATAAAGGTGTGGCATATTTTTAAAATAAGATAGCCATTTTTTTTTCATTGAAAAAAACACAATCTTAATCTTGTAATATAAAATCATTTTCAAATTCTTGGAGTGCACTAACAATATTAATACATATAGGCAAAAATAAATGAGATGTGAGATAATAAACCCCACCAAATTTATAAGTAGCATCATTAAAAATTTTTAAAATATCTAAAATTTTTGCCACAAATATCCTAATTTTGTGGATATAAATTAATTTCTTCAATTTTATTAGCAACAAAAATGCATAATAATTCTTTATATGAAAAAGACTCGTTTAATAATTCATATGTTGAATTCCAACGAGTTGGGAAATCCCTTGGAAAACGTTTTTGGTCTTTTATTATTTTCCTTATAAAATTTAGCCCAACTTTTCATTCAAATCACTTAGAGATATCCCATAAATATGAAATAGCTTTTCTAATTGGAGAAAAATATAAGATTCAAGAAACTTTTTAAACCATCTTGTACCATATAAATTTAAAACATGGTAAACACATGCTTATATGAAAAAAATTTTCCCATATTTGGTTCACAAATATTTTTAAGTTCCAATAATTGATTTAGTGTAGCAGAAGCATTAATCAAAATGAAAATTGAAAAATTTTTTTTTGTCAACTTTATATTCGATCTAAATTGAAACAAATTATTCTATAAATATTATTTGCAGTATGTTTATCAACTCAAAAGCACGAAATGCAATAATTTTTTTTGATTTTTTTTTTCCAAATCATCATCCAATCCCAATAAATAACATGTAATCCATAAAAATGTATTTTGCCAATGATCAACTCCAAAATATCACAGACAATTGAAACAACGAATTTCCATTTTAGAAAAATAAAGCTTGTAAACTACTTTTTTTTCCTTTTTTATATAAAAGAAATATAAGTTTCTTTTTAAAGCAAAATTTTATTAGCACTCTTTTAGCAGAAGGTTATTTAAAGCTTTTTGACAATATTGCATTTAAAAACTTTACTTTTTCAACCAAAACTAAAAGATAAAATGTTTCAATAGAAATCATTTTGCTAATTCTTCTTTTTGTTTGTTTTTCTAAGAATATTAAAATAAAGAAATGTTAGAAAGATGCGTGATGCGTACCCAGAAATTTGTGTTTGAGACCGATCAACTCCTATTTTTGTTGGATGTTTTGTTTCCAAATGCTTCCAAAATGATCCATAACCACCAGATTGTTTGAATTTATAATATTTTCCACAATAATTGCAAATTACATCGAACATTTTGTCACATTTGAATTTCTTTGTGAAATGAATGGCGAATATGTCGAAACTTTATCTTGCTCTTCGAATAAGTTGTGTACCTTGCTCTTGCTCTTCCTTTGTTGTACTTGCTCATCATTAAATTCAGATAATTGAGTTGGAATTTCCAAATTTTCATTTGGATATCCCTCAAGATTATATTGGTTGGGAGTGCAATCGTTTCATTTGGATATCCCTCAAGATTATATTGGTTGGGAGTGCAATCGAAGATGTCGTTTGTAGGGATAGATGAATATTTTGTTTCTCCAATCTTTCCCCTGCCCTTAGCGAAACTTGAGTCTCATCCACTTGCCATTATATGAAAATAATGTGTAATTTAGAAAATTGAATAAAAAAATTAGAGAGAATAACTAGAGATTGGAATTTGAAGAAATCAATTCACAATAATTTGGACAAATAATCGGAAATTTGACTTTGAAGAAATTATATTGCAATATTTTGGACAATAAATTGTGAATGAAAATTAGAGAGATTGTAGAGTAGAGAAGAATAATATAGAGTAGAGATAATTTTGTGTGAGAAGATTGTAAATGTAATGAGGTATTTATAATAAATCTAAAAAATCATTTTTCCACAAATACCCTTGAAATTAGCCGTTATGTAGCCATTTATAGTTGTTAGGAGGGGTAATTTGGAGATTTCACCAAAAAATTTGAAAAAAAAACTGCTGCTTGCTAGAATTTCCGGTTCGAACCGGTCGAACCGTTAGTTCTAGCCGTTACAAAAATAATTCAAATATTGGTTCGAACCGAAGGTTCTAACCGGCAAGAAAACTAACGGTTCCATCTGGTTCCAACCGTTTCTTGGAATTGCCGGTTCGCGGTTCCAAAAAAGTTGCAACCGGAACCGAAACGTAGGACTCCGGTTCCGATTCTGGGAACCGTAATTTGGCCATGTCTAGGCTTGACTGTGATATTTTGTGTGAAAGGCACAATTTGGGAATGACTAGAGAAGGAAGATATTGTGTGTTTCATTAATGGACAAAACGACGTATTTTTTGGGTAAAAATAAAAAGATACTTTAGCAACGGATAATAAATTCGTTTCTCATCCATTTCTTTTTCCATTGCTCATAAGTCGTAATATTTTGACCATAATTTTGCAACATCACAAATAATCTATTTCCCCATTACCATTTCTATTTTTGTTTCTCGTCTGTTTCTACAACTTGAACCCTCGTTTCCCGCTAAATTTAGAAATGGAAATTTTCTTTCCTAATATTTTCAATAGCCAATCCGTTTCTTATCCATTTTGTTAACAATTCTGCAAGTGTACGGATCATGTAAATAGTATAATAAAGATACCATCCTCAGGGATAGGAGGGACTGAATATTAGTTTCAAATCCAAATGAATTGCCTAACTCATCTTTGATCTATTAAGGGAAACTTCTTGAAGGGGGAAGGAATCCATTAATATCTCTGCCCTATTCCAAGTGACATAAATGTTCCAG